GCACTGAATCTTTCTCTTTATATTATGGATTCCCCCAAACCCTAATAAAATAAATAAATAAAATAGTAAAAACTCCACTCATTGGTAAACAACCATGCCTTGAAGACTCTGAAAAGCAGTCTCCACTTCATTGTGCACCTTTACCTCGTTTTCTTATTGTGCATTCTTTGTCGGGAAAACCTTTAGGGCAAATGTCTCCCCTTTTTTTTTCATTCAGAAGGGATTAGAGGGGCTTGCTGGCTCTCCAAAGTCAGTCAAGAAGCTACATTCTGGGGTCATGAACACCAAAACACACACTTCAAAGGCCATTGGAAATATACCCATTGAGGTTACTCCCCATGCTACTTTGATTTCCTCACAAGGAGTTATTGTCTAGAGGGATTTGAAGAACATCCCAGAGTTGGAGATCCTTGCTGGTCTCTCTAGCCAAGGAGTTTCTGTGGTGCATTGTATCTCCACTCCTAAAGAGGGACTTATGCTGCATACCAATGTTGTCATTTTGCAATTTTCATTGCCACATCCATTTGCCACTGTCAAGGCAGTTTATTTGAACTGTAAGACACGGCCATATATTCCCAACCCTCTTGGATGTTTCCAGTGCCAGCGGTTTTGTCATGGTTCTGTGGCGTGTGCTCATTGTGGTGGCAAGGACCACGACACCTACGAGTATAGCTTATTGAAGACTGTTAACAACATTTCTTACCCCTACTCCATCTCGGACATATGCTGCTGCACTACACTCCACTGCTGTGGTGGGAGTGCAGATGGACCTTTCCTTGCCTCTGTCAAAGTCTTTTTCACGTCATGTGATGGGTCTTCTGCCTTCAATGGATAACAGAGCTGACCACTCTACGTTTACGTCTCCATCCCCACCTCCTATGGCAGCAGCCTCTGTGTCTGCTCAGGTCCTTCTTCTTTGGCCCTGAGATGCAGACAGTCATTCGATCACGTCCTCAGTCTGATGACAGAGATCTGCCCACTTGACCAAGAGCAGGATCCATGGAAGTCGATAGACTTCCTTCTAGTAAAGAAAAATGGTGTGGTCATAAACCAAAGGGTTCTCCACCTAAATAAAAATGGCTACTTTGATGCAGTGGAACTGTCGAGGTTTTTATTGTAATGTCAATGACATTAAGGCCTTGATTGATTCCTATCATCATGCAAGTCTTTCCTTACTGGAAACATTTCTGAAACCTGCCTTTACAGTCAACTTTCCACAGTTTTTTTGTACCGGAATGACAGGTTGTGTGATGGATGAGTGCATGCAGGGGTGGCATTGCTGATCAACCAGCATGTGCCCTCCCTATCTGTGTCATTTGATACACCCTTGGAGACCGTAGCCATCAGTGTTTCCATGTTTTGTACCATCACTGTTTGTGCTCTCTACCTGTCTCCTGGAGAGACATATGATCAATCGGACCTTGATTCTCTCATTGACTAGTTGCCACCTCCCTTTTTAATCCTTGGAGACTTTTCATGGACACAACCCCCTCTGGGGTGGTGATATTGATAGGAGGGATCATTCCGTAGGGTATGTGCTTTTGGATCACAACCTTTCTCTTTTCAATACTGGATCTTATACTTATTTTCATGCATCTAGTCAGTCTTTTAGTGCCATTGATTTCTCGATCAGCTCACCTTCACTTTTTTCCCACATTTCTTGGATGGTTGACAGTGACCCATGGGGCAGTGATAATTTTCCTATAGTTTTGAGGGAGGTTGGCCTTGGTCGATGCCATCTGACCCTAGTGCCACAGTGGAAGTTGGATTAGGCTGATGGCCCTCTTTCACTGCTCTCTTCAAACTTGATCCTGCCATTGTCTGTCTGCCATCAATAGATGACTGTGTGATAGTAGTGTCTAACTGTATCATCCAGGCAGCTGCTCACTTTATTCCAAAGAACTTGACACGTTTTCCATGGTATCCTTGTCCATGGTGGAGTACTGCCTGCCAGGAGGCACGAAAGGCTCAAAAATGGCCCTGGGATACCTTCCGACGGTATCCCCCTCTTTTTGACTGCATAGTTTATCAGCGGGTCTGTGCCCACACTTGGCAGATTCAACGTCAAAGCCAAAAGGAGTCTTGGATTAAGTACACTTCTAGCATCTTTTCTACCACCAGTTCCAAAACCATATGGGACAAGATTTGGAAATCCACTGGGAGGTATGCTTCCCATCTCCTTTCCGTCTTGCTCTCCAATGGCCAGGAAGTTGCTTATGCCCTCGGCCACAGCTTTTCTCCTTCATCTAGCTCTTCTGTTCCTTCCCCTGCCTTCTTGGCCATTAAATCTTTCCTTTCGGGCTGATCGTATCTATGACTATAATTGCCCCTTTACTTTGGTGGAACTCAAACTTGCTCTTCATCGATCTGGCAGTATATTGGTCGGAACTGATGATGTTCATTATGAAATGTTATGCCATCTCTTTCCTGCCTCTCTTGCTATTTTTCTGGTTATTTTTAACTGGGTCTGACAGGAGCATGTTTTTCCTGATGCTTGGTGTCAGGCTATCGTTCTCCCTTTCTCTTAACCTGGGAAAGATCCCAAGATTCCTTCTAATTATTGCCCCATCACTTTGACTAGCTGCCTCTGTAAGGTCTTAGAGAAGGTGAGTAATGCTTGTCTTGTTTGGTTCCAACAAGCTCCTCATGCTCACCCAGTGTAGGTTCCATCAATAGTGCTCCACGGTGAACCATCTGATTTGACTTGAAACATAGATCAGGGAAGCCTTCCTCAAGAGAGAACATCTTGTTTCTGTGTTCTTTAAACTTGAGAAGGCTTATGACACTACGAGGAGGTGTGACATTTTGCAAGACCTCCACTCCTATGGGTTACGTGGCCATTTACCCATTTTTATTCTGAACTTTTTACTGGATAGGCAATTTGAAGTTTGTATGGAATCGACTATTTCCCATTCTTTTCCACAGGATCTTGGAATCCCTCAGGGCTGTGTCTTGAGTGTCACACTTTTCAGTGTCAAAATTAATGCTATCACTACACACCTTCCTCCTACTGTTGCAAATGAGCTCTTATGTCGACGACTTCCACATGTCGTGTCGGTCATCGAACATGAGGTTTATTGAGCGGCAGCTTCAAACTGCCCTCAATCGCTTGTTGAAGTGGACCACTCCCAACAGTTTTATGTTTTCCTTTTCCAAATCCTTTTGCATGCATTTTTGCTACCAATTGGATCTAAACCTCGATTCCCAAGCTTCTTCTTGGCAATGTTGTTATTCGTTTGGTCCCTGAGGCAAGGTTCTTGAGGCTTATCTATGTCCACAAGCTTACTTTCATTCCACACGTCAAGCAGCTACATGTCAAGTGTACAAGGGTACTGAACTTCCTCCGTGTCCTCTCTTCTTGGAAGTACTGTCTTCTTTTTGCTGAACATCTTTCAAGCTATTCTTCTCTTCCTATTTACACAGATGGTTCAAAATCAGGGGACTGTAGGCTCTGCCATGGTTTGCTGTGGCTCGGTAGTTGCTTGCAGGATCCCCTCTACACTTTGTATTCACTGCTGAGTTTTATGTTATTTCTCTTGCCCTGAAATATGTAGAAGCTATGCAGTACAGCAATTGTACTATTTACACTGATTCTCTTAGTTCTCTACTGGCCCTGTAATTGCTTAATATTAGTTCTCGCCCTGTTCTCGACAAGATTTAATAATGACTGGCCCATTTTTCTCTATCTTTTGTTTCCATCCAGTTTTTCTGTATACCCGGCCACATCGGTATTCGTGGGAATGAGCTCGCTAACACCACAGCTAAATCCATCTGCTCTGGTGCAGTCATGGCTGTGCCTGCCCCGTACATGGATTAGGGTCCTTTATTAAAGGCTGTGCTTCGCACCAGTTGGAAGTTGACTTGGGTGAGCAACATTATAACAAGCTTTTCCAGATCAAACCTTCTGTTGCTCTTTGGCCGTCTTGTTTCAATAAGAATCGGAAAGAGGAAGTTGTCCTGGCATTGGTCACAGTTTTTTAACTCATCATTTTCTTTTATCTGGTATTGATCCACCAATGTGTAGCCTTTGTGACACTCAAGTCATAATACCCCACATTTTACTGTCATTCCGTTGTTACGACTGTGAGCGGCAGCACCATTTTAGACCCGTGTTTTGTGAGGACCCCTGACATTGGACAGTGTCATTAGCAATGGTGACACTCTCCAACTTGATTATATTTTCAATTTTTTAAGAACAATTTGTCTTTTTAATTCTATTTAATTCTTTTATTTGTTATTTGGATGTATTTTTACATTTTACTACTATTTACTTTGTTGTTTTCAATGGTTTTGGCACAGATGGCCTAGTTGCTTTGTGCCATAAAACACTAAACAAACAACCAACCATCCTAAAGTCAAGTAGTTGAGAAATATGTTTATATCATAACTCATTTTATTCAATTTTAAATGATACTTTAAGGTGGAAATTTTGAAGTGAATTTTTAAACATAGGCTTTATATGAATTGACTTCCTGTTGTGTATACTGAATTGTCCACTCATAAATAATGTTTTAAAAGTGCATGTAATAGTAATTATTCTTTATATCTGGTGTATAAGAAAAATAACATTTCCAGCAGTAGTTTTTTATTTTATTTAAATAGGTTACTTTTGTAGAAATTAACTTGTTTATAGGTGTAAACCAGTGATGTAGTAGAATTTATTAGGTTCAGGGTCTTATAAAATGCATTGAAGAATTATCTTCTTCTTGACATGCAAAATTCATTACTTTATTAACTGAATGTTAAAAGTATGTAATGAACAGACTATAAATCTGCATATTAGATTTAGAACTGTTGTGATGTCCTATATTTGCAAACAAATTGATTACCTATTTGGGGGATTAAATTTTTTCAGGTCCATACAGAGTTTTTAAATATTATCTAGTATGCATGGGGTTATATATAAAAAAAAACAACAAATATATATATAATATATATTATTTGTGTATTCAGTAAAATAAAATATATACCATAAAATTCTTAAATTTTATACTTTACAGAATTTGCCTAATTGATGATGGTGAAATTAAGATCCCAAAGACCTGTTGTTGAAATACCTACAGAAAAAGATTCCATATTTAAAGGTTTGTGTTAATCATTGAATACAAAAATATGAATAAATCAACTGAGAGGAAAGAGTTAGCATAAAGGATCATCAAAAGAAAAAATTCAAGTAGACTTTAAAAGGTCCAGAAGCTTAAGCTCTTTTAATTACTTGATTGTTCTTTCTTAGGCAGAAAAAGAACTTTATTCTTCAGAATAAAAAAAAAAAACTATTTCAAAGGGCTCAAGTTTCTGGGTCTTTTGAAGTCTAATTGAATACATCAAATGCATAATTGTTAAATTTTAAAGAGCTTGAATAGATACTCAAAAACTTGAGTTTGTTACAAAATTATCTTAACATTAATCATGTAATACCATTTTTCAGAGCCATCACCTGTCTCTCCACTTCTTAGCCATGGATCCAGTGTTCTGGAGAAAATAAAGGACAGTGCACAACCAGCTGTACAGTCTGCATTTAGAAACTTGAAGAGAGCTAATTCTTGTGATGACTCTATTTCATTTTCCAGCTCACCAGTTTCAGTAGACTCTGGAACCTCTCATGATAGTGAAAGGTCTACACCAGTGTTCCAACAGCAACTTTCATTGGAACATGATTCTTACTGTGACCCTGATAAGTTCATTCTTGAAATCTTAAGTATGTCGGAAGCAGAAGACTCTGCTATTTCTATGGAACCTCCCTCCAAAGTACCACGATCAGGTTGCAGGTTAAGAACGTCAAGTCTCAGTGGGACTTCTGAGTGTTCAGTGGGAGAAGAAGAAGACAGCATTATGTCTGAAACATATACAGTGGATAGTGTAATTGAAAGTTCTAATCTTACTGAAGCAGTAAGCTTACAGTCTTCACCATTTGTGAATTCTGATATTAGTGAACCTTTACCAGCTTCTGCAGATAGTGTCAGAATGATTTCTGAAGAAGCAACTCTTGGAGATCAGTCTTCAACGACACAGACTAAAGTACAAGATTTTGTACAGCTGCATTCGGCTCTTAGAGCTCTTATCAGGTTTGTAAAGTATATAATATGTATTTGTTATGTACATGTGTAGAAGTTAAAAGTGATTTGAAGAAAGTTGTAGAACTTCATATTGAGACTATACACCCATCCCTAGGTAACGTTACTGTGATTACAATATTTTGGTTAATTTGAACAAGAATTCTAAACAAAAGTAGAGGGAGAAAGAGAAGAAACAACTAAAAAGTAATGAGGAATTTTTAAGGTTTATTACTTTTTAAGTGCATTATCTGGTACTAACAAATGACTGTTGAAACAATTCAGTGGTAAATTTACTAAAAATAATGATGAATAAATAAAAAATGTGCAGTCAACCCAGACCCTTGTATCAATGTATATGAAATGTTTGTCTAATGGGTCATTTACAACTGTATTTTGTCATTCCATGTTTTATTTCACTAAGGAAAATTGCATTGTATTTGTTTTTAAGTAAAAATAGATCGACCACAGTGAACTGTTGACAAAATAGTTGGTGTTTCAATGTGATAGGTATATCCAGCTTAACAGAGTGCACAGGTTCACTAGGTAGCTACAGCAATTTCTTTCTGCTGGCTGTTACCTTTCCTTGTCATCTTACTGAGTACAAGAAAAGACCACTACCAAAGTTAGGGGGAGGGAGATATTCAATGCATATATGTAATACTGACCAGAAAATTAAATTATAAAAAAAACAGAAATATATATATATTTTTTTTTTTCTCTCCCCATGAAATTCCCTCACAAAAAAAGAAACATTTTTGTTCTGAAGTTTTTTTCTCTGACTGTTCAGCACATACAAAGACTGCTGGATGTACATTGATATGAAATTTTAGGAATTTAAAAAAGTGAATAATTTTCTTGAAAAGAAGAATGTTGATATATATTTGTTGTTGTAAGATTGAATTATTGATAGTTGATTCTAATCCATTCATTAAGAACAGCATTTTACCAAGCTCTTTTATGTTGTGTGCTAGTTTAGTAGGTATATTCCTCATTAAAAAACTTAATATTAAAATGAAGTGAAACATCTACATGGTCAACAGAAGGTTTTTATATATTCTTATTGAACAACCTAAACTTGTAATGAAGAAAAGAATCTTTGACTTGAAGATCAAGCTTTCACAAAATTCTATCATAAGGTATATTCCTATCCCATTTTGTCTACCAGATATATTTTTTAAGTGAAAAATTTCATGTTGATAGCGTCAAGTCAGGACAGTGAGATCTGTCTCTGGTGTTACAGAAGAGAACCCATCTTTACCACAAACCCCAAGTTTGTATACATTATGTATGGTGATACTCACTTCATATTGAAACATGCTAAAATATTCTTTGATTCATATGTCAATATCTGAGGCAAATTTTTGTTTCTTTACGTCTTGTTTGATGAAATGGTCAATAAAAAATATTGCATGTGATTCTTACATGTTACATATTAAATATATGTACTGTTCAAAGTTCTGTTGTTGTTTTCAGTAGCATATCATTATTGGAAAGCAGGTATTGTATGCAGCTAAACTGTCAAAAACATGGTACATGAATATTTTACAACTATCTAACCCTGTTTTCCTGCACTGCAGGTGTTCTACCCTTTTCCTTATGATCACAGAAAGTTCATATTAAAAAAAAAAATTTTTTTTATTGGATTGCTTCATGATATCTTTCAAACAAACTGTTGGAAAGTGATGGGCTATTATTAAAGTTTGTAATTTATACAGTTTTTTCAGTTTTAATGTAAGTACAGGTTATTTTAGTTACTTTCACTTCTTTTGAATATTTTTGATATTATTCAAAATAATAATATTCGCCTGTGAGACAAACTGGTAACGATGCTATTGAATATGAACTGGTTGAGGAGCATGTTGGTTCTGCAGTATAAATAGATATTTGTATAAAATTATATGTTTGTTAGTGTATGTAATGACTATTTCCAGACCTTAAAATGTTTTGAGGAAATAAAATCTTGGTTTTAGAAAAGTCATGAAAAAATTGCAAGTTTAATATACTTTGAACAGCACTGTATTTTTCTTTGACTACCATTTTATTTTCACTCTGTCTCCGTTTTCTAGCTTCTTCTGTAATTTTTTTACTTATTTTTCAAATGGTTACTAAGTAATGAATATGGCTGTGAAAGCATGTATGTCTTCACCCATTCTTTGTGAAGAGCAACAGACAAATGACAATGTGCTTCATTGTCAGTAGTTTTATAGTATAATTTTTATTTAGTTTAAAATGCTAGGGAAGTGTACATTTAACAGTGTGATTATTGAGTGATAATACTTTTAATGGCTAGAGAAAGGTCTGGACAAGACTTGAGGTGTGTGTAAACTGTGTGACAAAAGTTTTGATATTTCCAGTATGGGAGAAGCAATGTTGACAAGTCATGCTAAAGGGAAAAAAAAAACATTGTGAACTGATACATGAAGATGTAGCCAGAACAAAAATTCTGGATTTTATTTGCATCATCTTCAAAAATTAAATCTAGTTTGATAATGCTGACAGTTGGAAATGGAAAATTTTGTCTTCCATCATGGCAATTAATGATATTTTGACTGCAGAAGTTTGCTGGGCTCTGTCATTGATTTGCACTATTCTTATAAATCTTATGAAAAGATTAACAACCTTTTTGAGTTGATGTTTCTGGATAGTGATATTGCCAGAAAGTGGGAGGAAATGTGCTTACTTGTGTGCTTTTGGCCTTGTGCAACAATTATTTTCTCACATTACACACCAAATTAGAAAACGGGAAGGTTATGCGTTACATTTTGATGAAAGTTTGAAAGACATTTGCAGTCTAAACTATTAGATTTTTATGTCCACATCTGGGACAGTGATGAAGTAAGAATGAGATAGGTTGGTTCTGAATTTTGAGGTCATACTTGAGCAAATAATGTAGTTGAAAAAAATGCAGGAAATAGTGAATGGTTTTGGATTTAAGAAACTTTTGCAGTTGATCATGAATGAACCTAATAAAAACTCAGGTCTTTGACACTATATAGGTGCAAATACATGAAGACTTAGATAAATCATTACTGAATGTGGGCATTTATAGACTGCACATAGTTCACAGTGCATTTTGCAACAGTTGCCTAGCAAGCTAATGAGACATTTATCAGACCCTTTCTAGTTGATATTGGCTGTTCAAGGATACTCATGACAAAAGATAAGATTTTAATAAGGTAACAGGCTGTGACAAATTCATGCTCAAATTTTGTAAACCCTGATTGGTGAAAAATGTCAATATAACTGAGAGAGCTGTGCATCTGAGGCCTCTAATCTGCCAGTATGTGTGAGAAAGTGAAAAGGGAGAAGTGTCAAATCTCAAAATAAATTGTTTGAAAGAATTCGAAGAAAGCTGCCCCAAAAAACTTCATTTTTGTTTTATATACTGAAATATGTATTGAGTGATTTATGTGTGTTTCAACAATCAACATACATTCCAAAGGAAACCAATTACAGTTGAAATTCAATGTATATATGGTCAGGTAACACGATGTGTTACCTCGATGGATATCTACACACAATTTTATTGTTGAGTGTTCACTACAGAGAGGTTACAAGTACAGTAGTAGTTTTGATTTTGCTGCTGCCAATAGCTGCACAAAACAAAACCTTGATGTAAAATATAACTATTTCCCACTGGTCCCTGATTTTAAAATACTAGCTGCAGTGTTGCATAGTTAAAAGAAAATGCATATCAGAACAAGTTATAGTTAAGTGCCAATTCAGTAATTCTTGATAGTTAACTCACAAATACTACTTTATCAATAATTTCATGAATGGTGGCAGTATAAATGTTTTGAATTTTGTGTCATAAAAAAGAAAAAAAATTATTAACAAATGTATGATAACCCTATGCATATGTTTGGGTAAAAGTGCATGTGATTATCACAACCTTTCACAGAGCTATATTTAAAAGTTAAACTACTTTATTTTTAACGTATATGAATAACCTTGGCACTAAAACTAGTTTATTATTTAAGTTTTAATACTATACAAGTTGTAATGCCTTAATTTCAATTACTAAGGCAAAATCTAATTTTATAGTACCCAATTATTTTCTTACTGGAGATATAAACTGAAAATCACTTGCAGTGCCTTCCAGTTGCTTTTCCTCTTTCAGTTTACCATTACAGCTGTTTGACAATTGTCATTACATTACTTATATCTAATAGAAACTAGGGGTTTTAGTTTACACAAGGTTACTGTATTTCTTAACCATCCTTATGACTACCTATCTGTTATATTTCCTACAGATTCAAAGTTGATCTCATTGAATCTGAGAGATCAGGTGAGGGAGTTATTTTAAGGCCTTAGTTACGAAGCCAGCTAAATTATTATAATCATATGAGATTGTATGCTTGTTGCTTATTAGTTTGTTCTTAAGTGCATATCTGAAATAAATAAATAAATGTATATTCATGAGGTATACTTGAGAGGGTGGCTTATATATATGGATCTGGTATAGAGGGTGCATTGATGTAGGTGGATAACTATTTGGGAGACTCTAGAAGCTATGCAAATTCTATTTGAAAATTATAAGATTAAAAAAAGATATATCTTTAACATAAATCACTTTGCAGTCAGACTAGTCAACCTGACTAAGGGTGCATTAATGTAGGTGGAGAGAGTTACAAGATTAAAATTGCTATGGGCGATATAGTGGGGAAGCATGCAAGGTATAATTTGTACCAAAGGTTAGATGGGTAAAGAAGAGAAACTTTTGTTGGGATAAAGTTAGTGTGAGAGGAGGTAAGTATTATCAAAATAATATAGAAAAATGTTAATTTTCAGTTACAATCTGCAGTCATTCTAGAAAGAAAAATGGGGTAAGTTAGATTTCTGTATTTTTTGTATTGGGTAGCAGTTAAATTGATCCAGTTTGTATAGCATTAGGGTAGAGAAAATAAAAATATAAAGTTTTACTGGAAAATAACATTTGATAATTATTTAGAAGGCTATAGAGGCTGTGCAAATTCAATTTGAAAACTATAAGATTAAAAAAAGATGTA